GAGACGGGCCCGCCTCCCGGCCGCCCGCCGCCCCTCCCGAGGGACGCGGCCCCGCGCGGCGGGCCGGGCCGCGGCTCCACTGTGCGCCGAGCTCGTCCTTCAGAGCTCTCGACGCGGCGCCAATGCGTCTTGCGCCCTGTTCTCTCTCCGGGCCCGCTGTCTTTCTGCACCTTTCCTGCTACGAAGCGCGCTCAGTGCGCTGCCTCGGTGTCCCAAGCATTATCTTCGGCTACCGTGAGCTCCTCTCCGCTGCCTTCCTCTGCCTTGGCCTCGGCTGCCTGCCATCTGCTCCTACGCCTCAGAGCATCCGACCCTCTGGGCCCTCCATGGGACTTTTCGCCTCTCCTGGAACCTGGTTCCTGCGTGCTGGCCGTTCCACTGGCAGTGTTTTCTTTCACTCACGCTGGATTATGTCTCTCCCTCTCTGCACTTAAGGTGTACAAACCTCTAGTCCTGCAGGGTACTTGATCCCTGGCTTGCCAGTAGCATTCCCTTCTTCCCTCCATGTGTCATCCCTTCCTGTCATCCCTGAGCATACTTGCTCTAGGGACTCAGTTTTGGTGTTTTCCACGGTGTGTTTCCCTCTATTTACATTCCTGGACACTCTAGAAGATGTATCCATTTGTCAGTTCCAGGGGAAATTGTTTCTTCCCACTATACCTTGTCTTTTACTTATGCAATCCCTTATGCCTCCTACTCTTGTCTGTCCTACATGATGCCAGAGCCTGGCATCAGGTTATCGTGTACCCCGCAGCACAGCCCACCTCATACTTTGCCAGAGGTGTGCCCCTGCTCAGCACCTTACAGCCCAGGTTTCTGTGTTACAGGTCCTTACCCTATCCCCCCCCTTCTGCTGTATTTTATCTGTTCTGATCAGACTGTATAATGCATGATGTGTATTTGCTGTTTTATATGTCTAACCTTACTTGTAAAGAGCAAACCAAGTGCTAGCAGTAAAGGAGACAGCACACAAGTGACACTAGCTTGTATCACTGACTGTCATAATTTTTTTTCTTGGAACTTTGTTGACATGATTTCCTCTTTTCTTTTTTGCAGCAGTGCTATGGCGCAACTGCTTAACAGTGTAGCTGTGGCCTCTGCTGATTGCTTGTCTCATGACTTGCAGCACATAGTGAAACAGCTGTGCTAATTCTCAGGTGGTCTAGGTCTGTCTGTTAATGCTTCATCAAGGAAAACAGCTGTGGCTAGAGATACCTAATGTATGGGCTGTGTAGCATTTTCTTTCTCAACCTCTTTTCTGTAGTTTTGAAAAGAGAAGCAATCCTGGTTTATTAGCTCTGCCAGTCTGTTATGCATATCTTATTCTTGATACAATAAGGATATGTTATAAGGATAGCAAGGAAGAGAGAAGCAAGTACCGCTTCTTTATGCTTTGAACAAAATTTTAAAGCTTTATACCTCTGACAAATAGGGGTATAGTCTGGAAGTCTGAAGTCTGAAGGTTCTCAAGTATTAGTCTGAAATGTTCTTCAGCATCACCTTGTTGTTCTTATTTGGTGACTGGCTCAAACATGGCACCTAACTCCTTGTTGTTGAAGTAGCATTTTAGTAGTAACAGCTGCAAAATCTCCACCTAATCAGATATGCCAGCCACATTCAGCTGTGTGTGATTTACAACCAGGCCATCACTTTCCTTTGGTGAAGAGGCTGATAGAGTCTCATTAGGCCCTCACCTTGGGGAGTAGGAGTACCTATCAATCACTTCTTTCTGGATAAGCTTGAAGTAAGCAGTTGGATTGTAATAGGTATCTTTGCCATTTAGGTTGTACGTGTAAGCCGTGCTTTTTTTAAGATGTTGTCATCATGTATAGGTTTACTGTTCTTCTTTTGGCTGTAAGATATCCAGGCAATTGGTTCGATTTATATTTAAAATTACACTGTTATTTCCATTATGGTCCTTATCAAAACTCACTTGCAATTACAAGTACTGCTGCTATCAAAGGCTAAAGGCTCCCTTCTTCCCTATTAAATTGCATTTCTAGGAAATCCAGCTCTTTGATGGAAAGTAATATTTTAAAATTACAGGAAGGCTCATTCAATCATATTTTTATACAAAATGAGTGATTCCTATGTTATATATAACCCAGATTCACCTCAGGATACCACTTTCAGTTTGCCAGTGCCATTAATTTAAGTGAGATATATGGAGATAGGGAGGAGGGTTGTTTTTATAGGGAATTGCGTGGTGCCTTTTAATTTTAAGATAATTGTAGAGAGATTGTAAAGGAAGTATCATTTTTCTTAACCACTTCTTTCCAAGAGAAGTTGTGACTTCAGTTTGATTTCAAGGAAGTAATAGGCTGGAGCTGTGGTCTTGTTTTTGATTCCTTACACAAAGGTCTTGTCTAATAATGTATTTCTAATTTTAGCCGATGAAGCATACGCCAGGTTTTTTAAAAGCACTTGCAAAAGTGTTTTGTTACCTTAATGGGTATAGACTGAGCATAGTTTCTTTTAGTGCCTTGAGTCCAGAAAGCATCTCAATAGGCATTTTTTATCTTTAGTGTTTTTATGATTGAGGTGAAGGGGGAAAGGCAATCAGATTTTGTTAATATTTTTAGCTGTGGTAACCATCAGATGCATTTGGAGCAACAGTAGCTGAAAGGAAGATAAAGAAAGAACATATCTATCTTAGCCTTGCATATTACAGGCAAGGAGGCACTACTGTTCATCAATACCCACAACAGTGACTGTGACAAAAAATACCTATTTCTGCTTACCCAAATGAAGAAGATACTACTTATACCATTTTCTACAAGGTAGCGCGATTTGCCAATGAGACATGGAATATGAAGAGAAAACATAATTTTAATTGCCTTAGAAATAAATGTGAAATCTAGGCCAGCAGAGATGAAAGACCACCAGATCATTGTGTCCTCTAGCAGTGTTTGCTATTGTATACCTGGGAAAAGCAAGCTTGAATTTATTTTTTTTTCTACTTGTCATGTCCAACGATCAGAAACTCATTTTTTAATCCCAGAGAATCAGAGTTGTGTAGTTTGTGAAGAAAAATGTTGTTTAAATTGTGGCATCCTTTAGCATAGAGGTACTGCATCATGTTTGCTGATCTGAAAATCTCTTTCATTTAAAGAGATTAAAGAGCCACTGTTTGAAAGGCGTGCTTGTCTGATTTGTTTTCTGCTTCCCTGTGCTTATCCAGATGCGATTATCTGTAACCACTCACACAGAATAATACTGTACAGTGAGAGAAGCCGTATTGACTCCAGAGATTTGGGAAAAATCTCTGGAGAGATCTGAGCGGAAACTACCTTTTTTTTTTTTTTTAAAAAACAACCACAGTGTTTAGAAATAATGTTTTCTTCTTATACAGAGTTTATCATTAGATATGAGGCAAATATGGAGAATAAACAATAGCAAGAGATGGAAGTGAAGCAGGTAAAGGGTTTTACCAGTAAAAGCACAACCTCTATGTTGTTTATTTTTCTTTTTAGTTTTAAAGATACAGTTAATATGTTACTGAAATAGAGGTGTTTTCTCATCCCTGTTGGCCTTTCTGAAAAGTAACTTCAAGGTGGATTTAACTGTGGACAGAACAGTAGCTTTGTAATCCCGTGAGTAATTGTGGGAGGACAAGAGAAATGGGACACAGCAGTTGATATTATTGATATGAGAAGGCTGGACTGTGACTTGTCATAAATGTCTTCAAGAAAAGAGAAATATGCATGCATCTTACAGTGACTAAATCTTTTTATGCCTCTATTTTCAATCTGTATAAAGAAAGGAGAAAATTATGTTTTCCCAACCCAAAATTTCATGTAATTTCATAACTAATTTGCAAAGTCTTACTCCTGGACAATGCAGTACTATAAGTAAAGGTAAATTCTGCTTCTAGAAGTGGCCAATGCCTGATGGTCCAGGAAAAACTTTGCAGCTTAAATTTAAAAATCACTGGTAATTAATTATCAGTAAATTGGGAGTGACGAGATACTTGATTTGTATTAGCTATCAGTCTTAACTGTCTTCTGTCAGCTCCTGGTTCAGATGTATAGTAGTGTTTCACATGGAGAGAGAACTAAATGATCTCCTTCAGTGGAAAGAAGCTAAAGAGCTACATGCTTACCAGTTCCTGTGTCAAAAGAAAATGCTACAAGATGTCAAAAAGCAGCTCCAAGACATGCATGAACAATTTAACAAATTTAAATAAGATTTAGTCTATAACCTAAGAATTTTAGAAGAGATAAAAAGTTAGAACACAATGATGTCACAGTCATTCATCTGAAAACATCTGAAAATGCTAAACAGGCAGAGATTAGTGATCTTAGAGTACAGCTGGGTAAAGTGGAGCACATGCTCATCAAGGAAAGAAAAAGACACAAACTTCATTATCACTATCGATGACATATTGAAGAATGTACATTAGAGATGGAATGGTTTTGCAGGTGAGATGTGACTTCCTTAGAATAGTATGCAGGAAAAGAGAAATTTAGGACATATTTGGATTGGGATAAATCAGTAACATCATTCAGAAATGTTAGAGAGCACTTTGAGCATGGAGATATGATTATCTATTCTGACAGGAACACCTAGAATGCGAAAAGAGTGAGGACTAAAAGAAGTTACTTGGGCTATTTTTACACCTCCTATATCTTGGTTTCCACAGTGACTTATCTGATTTCTGGCAATGTTTTAGAGAAAAGGATAGTATTAAGTGAAAGTGAGGATGCTTTTAAACATACAGCGTGGCCCTACATAAGGGTGCATGTTGGGGGGATGATATGACTGGGTGGAGATGGTATAATTATAAGGGAAACATAGTATGGTATAATTATAAGGGAGTAGAAAATGATTTGTCAGAAGGGAATGCTTTTTCCTCGGGTGCTTAAACACCTCTGGGAAATGAGATGAATCTGAAAGTATTGTAATATGTCTCCTGTGTGTTATATCAAGATGCACTTGTCTTCTATGTATGTGAGGAGACAAATGATAATGGTATCAACCGTTGTCAATAATATTATCTAGGGCTACTAGACATTAGTTGCTATACTGTGCTATGGATTCCACACAAATGGTTCAGCCTTTCAACTATATTCAAGCCATTGCGAGCTAATCATATGATAGGAGTTGGGTTTGTGCACTCCTAAATACATTTTTTCCCACCTTCTCTGATAGACCTCTGTGAAGGAAAGAAGTCTTGTTGGGGCAAATCCAGTCACAGGACCAATATTTATGACTGATACAACCAATTAAAAGATGAAGATAGCTGAAGCCATGCACGTGTTTAGTTTGGCCATTCTCACTAATTTTTATTATTCTTTTTATGGACTTCTAAACTTTGGGGGGAGGGTAAATGCTTGTTTCTTGATATCTGTCTCTCCATTGCTCTTGTTTAATATAACTACTGTCTTCAGATATAGCAGCATCTTTGGGATTATTCTGTGTTTAAAATCGTAACTGCTGTACAGTGTTCTAGGTCATGCTGCATTTATAACATAGAGATGGCTGGATAAGGTTTAAATACCTTTTTTTAGTTATTAGAAGTGATCTGGAATTCCTTGAAGGCCATTAACTAATTGATAGTACTGTGGTTCTGGAGCATATGCAGATTTATTTAAAGCCAGTTCAGGAATTCTGTACAGAGCATATCCTTTGGGAATGGAAGGAGTTTGAGTCTTTTACACCCAGTATTGCCTCTTTGCCAGGCTGGACTGGATACTGATCTCTGAGCAGTACAGCAATTATTCTTCTGATCTGCTTTGCCCTGGAGAGTTGTGGGATGAACAAGGGATGTGTAAAAGTACACTGAGACAGCAGTTCTGTTAGACTTCCTTTATGTGCACAAGTGTTGACTATAGGATTCAGAGTAATTCAGGTGAAGTGTAAATTTAAAAGCAAAATCTGGCAGAATATGAAAGTGAATATGCATTTAGGTGTTTGTGATTATCCAGTTCTAGTTTGTGGTTCTGTCTGCATAGTTGTTATATGATCAACTTTATCTAACCAAATGGAGTAGCCATTCAGCTACATAAAATAACTGTCATATAGAGTTTAAATAATCCTAAGGTTGCAGAACTGCACGGTATCAATCCAGCTCTGTTTGGCCATGTAACAGACTGCACCAAGCCTGTTGAATCTTTCAGGGAGGAATCCAAAGTTTGAAAAGTTTCAGTGTGTCGTTACAGAACTTAGTGGTCATGGTAGCAGTATCAGCTCTTCAAATTGGTTTGAAATGCTGGCCTTACTGGTATTCTTCCACTCACTGTATCTCAGAGAAACTTTTTTGCTCATAGCAAATAAAAATACTGGGGGGGGG